AGAGGGAGAGAGAGGGAGAGGGAGAGAGAGGAGAGGAGGGGGGTGGGCGAAGTGATATGAGAAACTGGGAGGCAGCAGAATTTGGAACTGAGTAGAAGGCCAATTCTCACGAGTGCCATACAGTTAAGGAAAATGCAAGAATGCCGGTTATAGCGAATAGGCTTGACACTCGTTCAACCTGTCACATGAGAGCTATGAATAGTCTATATTAATTAGACTTGAAGAGCAATATATTAATTAGACTTGAAGATCAATTGGCAGGAAGGGCAATGTTGACCCAGGGCGTATCTGACCAGAAATTGGTGACCAGATTCYGCAGTCAGGAMASTTGTAGAGTCCCCTTAAGCATTCAAGACCCCCAATGCGAACCTGGAACAGACAAAAAAACACAAGTTCGGACAGGTCCCTCAACGGCTGTAGTAGAAAAGGCTGCCAACTTCACGCGGCCATTCGTAATAAGCCCGCAATGCCATGCCATAACTACAAAGTCTGGCCGTGGTGTGCAGAGGGCCTGAAACAAACAAACAGCAAAAAGAATTGCCCATGTGTCTGCCATTTTTGCCGAGTCTGGACTCCGCCCCTGGTACCTGTTTTTTTCTGCCCATTTCGAGCTAAGAATGTGATCCACGGTCAGTTTTTCCTTTTTATTTTTATTTTTACCTCACGACGATGGGTTTCAATCAAGAATGGAAAATAAAAAGAGAGATGACTGCATCCCAGGGGACATCAAGCTAGTGCAAAAGGGCAGGGGGAGGAGGCCGACGAGGAGGAGGAGAGGAGGTGCTTGTCCGTCCCATACCACCGTCTTGTTCCCCTTGTCCTCCTCCTCCTCCTCCTCCTAGGCTCTTCCTCTCTGTCTTCCTGCATTCCTCCTCACCCTCCTCCTCACTATTGCCCCCCCCTCCTCCACATCTATCTTCCGCTCCTCCATACCGATTTCATTTACTTCTTCCCGGCATCCACATGTCATGCTCGCTGTTCTACGAGCGGACAAAGAAGGAGACGAGCAGGCCAAGGACGGACACATTTAAGAGAAGAGGAGGATCTCCTAGGCTCTCCTCCTCTCTTCCTGGTTTGCACTGAATGACTGGTGGATGGATGACTGTGGTCGCGGTCATAATCTTCTTCGCGCCTCTCACTCAATGCGAGGAATTGATCTTGACTTACAAAAAAAAACCTTGCGTGTGTGACAAGCCAATGAGACTTCTCTGAAGTGACTTATTAGACTTCACCGATGTGACTTATGAGACTTCGCCGACGTGACTTATGAGACTTCTCCTACGTGACTTATGAGACTTCTCCGACGTGACTTGTGAGACTTGGAAGAAACGCCCTGACCTCGCATATTTGATCCTCATCATGTTCATGGGCTTCAAGTTGTCCTGATGATGATACAGTCCTCCCCGTTCCAATTGGTGTTGTCGGTGTACGTAGCCTGAGTGATTTCGATTATGACGCACTCGCCGTAAACTGGCTCGTGCAGGTTTCTCCTGCAGACACGGCTTCCTGAGGTGTAGAAGTTCCGACCGCACTTGGCATAGTTCCAGTTACCACCCGAGCAAGGGCCATAGGCGCAGGCCCCAGTGTTAACGAAACGTGTCGTTTTCTCCACACTGTAGCACAACAGAATCAGCCGGGAAGGGAGGAGGGGAAAGAAAACCAAAAAAAAAAAAAAAAAACAGGCACACGTCAGGATCCCACTTCGTACTCCAAAGCCCGGATGGGCCAAAAAATCAAGGACGACTAGCTAAGGGCGAAAAAAGGCCAACAACAATTTCGGATGGGCCAAGTCCCACTATGGCCATATCCTTGATTGCACTCAACGCTACTGTATGGATGTGTTTGAGCCCATGCACGGTTGCGCCAAGCTCAATTATGCCGTTTCTGCACATCTCCACAAACACGTCCTCATTCAGGCGTTGATGAACCTCAACGCTTTTCATCGATGCTGATAGTTCGACAATGCAGTTTCGGTAGAAAAGGAACCGTGGTGGCCCCCTTTTTTTTTTTCTTTTTTCTTTTTTAATTTGTTTTTGCTCCCTTAGCCCGTCTGAATGCACGGCTAAACCCTGTAGTTATCACACCCCAGGTGACACGACAGCCGCTGTACTTTCATAACATTTTTTAACTCGGTGGCTGGTTTCTTTGAAGGTGCATGTTTTAGCTTGGCGCCCATATGACCAGAAGAAGCCTTAGGGTAGCCAAAGCATAATTATTTGCTTTCGAAATAAGCGCAAAAAGCTACCGTCTTCTACCGAATCGAACGAAAGGTCATTATTGCTGTATGTGGACGGAAAGTTGCCCCAAATACAGGCATAATGACTGTACGTTCTATTCGGGGGACGAAGGTAGAGAACATACGACAGCCAGATGGCTGCGAGATGGCTGGATGGTACACGAGTGATGAACAGATGTAAGCAGTTTGTGTCCTGCTGGTCCGTGCTAGATGTAGCATTTCGCTTTCTGTTTTGTTTTTTTCTCTTAATGTTTAATCATCAAAGATCCAGTCAACAGTCCAATCGACAGTCCAATCGAACGATTCGATCACCTATCCAATCAAGGAAGCAACCAAAGACACAAGTCTGACTTTAGCAATCGCTGAGACCCGAGACGGACAGACGACAATAACTTTATTATTATTATTAGGGGTAACTTCAGCGCAGTCACGAAAACAGTTTGTAATTGCACTTCAGGCAATCCCGCGAATACAACACACCCCCACTCAACCCCACCGGACCCGAAACGTAGGTCATATACATTCACCATTACCGGCCCTTTTGCCTCAAGTGCAATTACAAACTCAAACCCTGACTGTCAAGTGCAATTACAAACTCAAACCCTGACTGGGCCGTAGTTTTCTCTTATTATTATTACTCTTTTAATTTGCGTCGTCCTTGCGCAGGGGCCATTCTAATCTTCTCTGTAGCCTTCCAATTTTAAGGCATGTCCGTCGACTTCACGTGGGAGGGGACTGTTACTTTGGGTTGGGGTGGTCAGAAGCGGAGGAGATGGGGCAGAGCGGGGAAGACAGGACGGCCACTCACCTCCCCGATCCCTACGTCGGCTCGACCTTTTTTTTTTTTTTTTTGTATTTGAGGGTCGACATGCTGGACAGCCTGGACGATTTTCCAATTACAAAAAAAAAATTAAAAAAATCGGGAAAATGATGAAGAGCAACTGACCAGGTCTCAGGCAACACACACAAAGCACCGACGCCTGTGAGACAATTTACACCGTAGCATACTGGGCAATCGGCAAAGCGAGGTCGCTCCTCCGTCTCCCTTGGGGATCGAACCCGTGTCAGTCAAGCACACTCTTTGCAAGCAAGAGAGGATGGGATGCTTGTGAGAGGGAGGCGGAATGCCGAACTACGATGTACGGAGAGGAAACACAGTGGAAAAAATAATAATAATAATAAAAAAGCGACTGATCAGACTGAGTACTCACCCATCCACGTTGTGGAAGATAGGTCCATCACAGCAAATATCACCGTCCGATATCGTCGCTGGGCCTCTGCTGCCCCTGAAGTTGCATTCACCCATCACAAGCTTTGACGACAGAGATATCAAGACTGTCAGCAGCAAGGCAGCAGCCATCACCGAGCTTGCACCGGGCTTGCCCATGAAGACGGCCATGAGTTCTACACTACCGTAACCTCGCAGCGTTGTACACACGTGCACACCCCAGATGCAAGCCCACCGCTGGGAGGACACAGAACTCTGGCAGGCAATCGTAATCAATCGTAAGGAGAACGAAAGCACGGAGGGCAGCAGAAGGACCCAGAGAGAGAAAGAGGAAGTGCCAGTGAGGGGAAAATCTCTTGCACACGGCATAGGATCAATCGGTGAAGCCCTCTATATATACGTAGTGGTTGTAGATAGACACTCGCACCAGGACGGAAACAGTCCAGATGCACCCGGTCCAGAAAGCATCCAATTGTGTGCATATAGAACTAGAGCTCCTCATACTCTCAACATGCACGTTCAAACTGTTGGACTCGTCCGAATGCACCTGGTCGACCATGTGTCCAATTGCATGTGCCTTGTAGAATGTTGGGTGGTGGATAGAGGCGCACCTGGTCCATCTTCTGCATGAGGGGACGGCTCGGACGGAGCCACAGTCAAGGATTCGAGCTTAGGCTCTGGACTAACAGTTCATAGGACCTGGTGTACCAACTGAGCTAGTAGGCACATTTGTATGTTTGTCATCCTTGCCCAGCAGCCATGTGAATAAAAATTAAAAATAAAAAGAATTAAGAATTCTTATCTCTACTCTCAGTAGATGGGAGGCGAAGGTACTGGCGAAGTGTCCCGTCTTTGTGTTTGCCCATCCCCCCCCAAACCGGCCTACCTGATGCCCCACCCTACTCCCTGACCACCTTTGATCAGGGCTTGGAGGGGTTCCCTGTATAGGCTCAGGAGTCGTGGTGGGCAGCATACTTTTTTTTTCTTTTTCCTAGTGAAAGGTGAAATTGAGAGTAGAATATAGCGTAGTTAAAATTAAAAAAAAAAAAAAGCAACAAACACACAGGAAAAAACAACAACACACACACACATGGCTGGAATTATGGGGTAATTGGTGGAAAGACCCTGGGAAAGTTGGGCGCCGAAAACCAGAAAGGTTTCGGCGTGGGGAAATTCTATGCTCGTACTTCTACATCCGACAGCAGCATTATTCAGGGGATAATTGGTGGAAACCGCCCAGGCCAAAACCTTTTTGGTTTTGGGCACCCAAGCAAACTTTTCCCGCTTGGCAAAAACTGCCCAAGGGCAGCACAGGCRTTGGATGCAGAAATATGGTGGCCGAGATTGGGGTCTACGACTGCTGGCCTCTTCCTACCGGATTGTGAACCTGGTTCTGTAATTACGGGATAATAATAATAAAAATTGGTGGAAAGCGCCCATGCCAAAACCTTTCTGGTTTTGGGCGCCCAAACCTTTCCCCTTTGAAGACCGAGAAAGTTAGAAGAAGGGGCCCAGCAGYCGAATACCCCWATCTCGGCCACCAGATTTGGGCATTTGAGATCTGACGGCCTGTCGGTGGACGCTTTTTGCCAAGCCAGAAAAGCTTTGGGCTACGCGCTTGCCACCAGTTATTCCGAATAATGGGATGATTGGCGGAAAGCGTCCATGCCAAAACCTTTTCGGTTCTTGCGCGCCCAAACCTTTSGCTGCTGGCATTCTGTTCKATGTAGAAGTAAGAACATATTAGTTTACTGGAACTATTTWCTTGCAGCTTTTTCTTTCGTTCTTGCTTTCTTCCTTTTTCTTGCTTTCTTGCTTTCTTGCTTTCTTGCTTTCTTTCTTTCKTTCTTTTCTCCTTTTCATTTAATACACAAGCAGTACACCACACATAAGCCCGCGGGTGTCAGCATGAAACACGCACCACTTCGGAGGTCACCCATATTTTTTTCCGACAGCACCGGTCCCCTGGCTGTGGGGGGKKTCTCCGAGTTTYGCATGTGGGACGWCAAAARCTTTCTGCAAGSCTGGGGCCGCGTACTAGCGGTTTACGGCTGCCAGCCCTGGGGCGGGCTCCCGGTAGCAAAGAGGATCCGAGGATCGGATCGAATGCCTGAATCTGGACGAGTTGATGGAGAAGTGCAGGAAGTAGAGATTGAACTGCTTTTCTGCATCTCTGCTTAATAAAACACATCCAGATTCACGAGCTCGATCCTATTCTTTTTGCTATTGGGACCTCGGCCCTGCAATAGTAGATCTCTGAGTTGTACGGCTCCTTTTCATCATCTCCAACAGTAGCCCTGCCTGAAACTTCATCAAAGGGATAAAAAAACCAAAAAAAAAGGGTTGCTACCCTTGCCTTTCTGGTGGACTTTAGGCTGGTTCCCAACTACCCAGCTTTCCTTTCAGTTCACAGCCTTACGGTCGCGAGCGCTCTCAGTTTTTTTTTTTTTTTCGAAGGCTAGTTCTTTTAAGCCCCCAAAAGAAAAGAAACTAAGAAAAAAATCTGTAATAGATTTGGACCGGGGTAAATTTGTATGGTGACAGGGTGCAATAAACAGCCTCCTGACCACAATTGAATCCAATACACCTGACATCATGGTGGTCCGAAGAGAGGAAGTGGAGGGGGTATGCAGGGCCAACTCCCTCATTAAATTCAGATATATAGGATATATGTAAATTGGGATAATTGGTGAAAAGCGCCCACATGGAAACCTTTTCGCTTTTAGGTGCCCTTAAAAACCCAGGCCAGTGCTGTGCGCCCAGGGAAAACGATAGCGGGGTATCTCAATCTCACGTCCAACCCAACCCTGGGCAGTTTTTGCTGGGCCCTACTTGGCTACCAGCCTGATGTGGGATGAAAATGCCGCCCTATTGCTTTCCCTGAGCGCACGGTACTGGCCCTGGTTTTCGTGCGGCAAGAACCGAAAACCATGTGAATTTGCTCGCTATGCTTGCCAGTAATAAGCAACCTGACTGCTGCCACCCCAGAATAGATGGGGCTGTGTGAGTTCAGATTAAAAAAAAAGAAAATATTAAACAGTGGACGCAGCATGTTTTGAAACCCTAAAGGTAGAAAAAACTTGCGCCCGCAAAGCAAAGCAACCACGCGCCAACTCAAAACTCGAAATCAGCCATTTCAGTCCAAAAGTATCCGTTGGGCATTTTCTGTATTTTTCTTTGTTTTCCCATCTGACACCACGGCTGACCCTTGTAAATATGACACCAAGTCTGACGCCACAGCCGTGGGTACTTCCGTCGCCTTTTCAAACTCGGCAGCGTTTCTTTTGCTGAAGCGTGTTTTTTAGGCACATTCCATACTCAAAGGCAACATTACCGTACTTTCCCTCAAAAGAAAAAACACAGTCAGCCTTTGGACAGTTCGTGTGTCCTTTGGCTTTTCCCTTAGTCGTCGTCCTTGTAGACCATTGACCCTATTTCGTTTCTTCTTTTAGGCTTGGTAGAGAGACGCAGGCCAGGCTAAATGCCACGAATCTTCCTAGGCGGCGGCCATCTGCGGACAAGTCCGCGGCCGCGGCCTAGGCCGCGACCCCGCGGACGTGTCCGCGGTCCAAGGCCATGAAAAAAAAAAAAAAAAAAAAGAATTCAAAAACTTCTGAAAAACAAATATGTTATGCAGAAAAATATACTGAAGAACTTTTGCCTTGTGGTCGTATCCAATAACGTCACTGAATTTAAAATAAAAAATCACATACATTTCATGTTTTTTTTTTGGAAAAAAAAAAAAACAGCTTTTGCTTCAGGAAAATTAGTTTTTGAATTTTTAAAATTCGAAGTCGAAGTCAAAAAATATAATAAAAAATTGCGCAATTTTGATCTCAAGACGATCTACAACCCCATATTTTTTATTTTGTTTTTTGATAAATGCTTAAGGTCACAAAAAAATTCTGAAAGTCGCGGCCACACCCAACCGCGGCCGGAGCCGCGGTGGCCTGTGATCACGTCGGCCCTCTGAGCTTGACCCAGCGGACGCGTCCGCGGGTGTTTCATAGGCTATATGTCCGTAGATGGAACGGGGACAGACCTGTGGACTCGTGGGGTGTCCCCCGGTGGATGGCTAGGATGTGTTCTACAATCTCGGGCCAGGGCCTCATGTCCCTAGCCACAATTTCCGTCGTAGAGCATTCTTTATTACTCGGTTCGCATTTTCTTCAAGGTCGTTCAATTGAGACATATGAGGTGCGGTGTTCCGAATGGAGACAACATGTGGGACTAGGCTCCTGATGACTTCCCCCCAGAATTCTACACCATTATTCGTTAAGATGTATGTATCCCTCGCGGCCGTGGCTGCGGGGTCAGGCGCGGAGGGCGGTCATGTTCATGGCCGCATCCGCGGCTAGGGTCGGCCGCATAGCGGCCACGTTTTTCACGGATTTTTCCCATCAAAAATAATAGGCAAGAAAAAAAAAAGGGTTGTAGGCTAGCTTTCCCGGGGCGCTCGGCCGGCCACCTCGGGCGCCTCGCCTAGGTAGGTACCTCGCCCGGTGTATCCCGGGCATGAAAAAAATCCACCGATTTTTTTTTATTTTTTTTTGGTGTACGGTTGTTTGCTGCGCTTGCCAAGTACGGCCCAAATCCGGCCTTGTTTTTCATTTTCAGGCATATTGGTTTCTGTGTGTTGGGGGGTTGGGGGGGGGGGCGGGAGGGCCTATGGCGGGGGGGGGGGGGGG